AAAGTTCACGTCGGAGGAATAGAGGGTTTTTACCGAGGCACAGATGGAGCCTTGGAGTTTAGAGGCAGGATCGTAGTGCCGAAAGACGAGGCTTGACGGAAGTAGATATTTTCAGAGGCACACAGCATGCCTTATTTAGCCCACCCCGGCAGCACAAAGATGTGCCACGACTTGAAAAAGTCGTTTTGGTGGCGGGGAATGAAGAAAGACGTAGCCAATTTCGTAAAGAAGTGTTTGGTCTGCCAGCAAGTCAAGGCCGAGCACAAGAGTCCGTTAGGCCTTCTACAACCACTTGAGATTCCAAAGTGGAAGTGGGAGGAAGTCACGATAGATTTCGTTACAGGGTACCCATGTCATCCGAGCATCACTACGCGATTTGGGTAGTAATGGACAGATTAACAAAAGTCGCACATTTCCTACCTGTGATGATGACTATGTCGATGGATAAGTTGGCCGAGATTTATACCCGTGGGATCATTCGACTTCACGGAGAGCCTATTGTGTCAGATCGAGATGCCAGATTTACGAGCAGGTTCTGGGAGAGTTTACACGAGGCTATGGGAACGCAGTTACAGTTCAGTTCGGTTTACCATCCAGAGACAGAGGTCAATCAGAGAAGACCATCCAGATGCTCGAAGATATGCTCCGAGCTTTGGTTTTGGATAGAGGTGCAAAGTGGGAGTCGATTTTGCCATTAGTCGAGTTCGCCTATAACAACAGTTACCAAGCGTCAATCCAGATGGCTCCGTCTGAAGCACTTTACGGTCGTAAATGTCGGTCACCCCTTTATTGGGATGATGTTGGCGAACGTCAGGTACTCAGTCCGAAGATGACCGAGGAAACAGTTGAGCAAGTAGAATTGATCAGACAGAGGCTTAAGACTGCTCAGAGTCGGCATAAGTCATCGGCCGTCAAACACAGACGAGATATTCAGTTCGAGGTTAGAGAATGAGCCTTTTTCTAAGAGTTCGACCATTCCGAGGGATCATTCGATTCAGGAAGAGAGGGAAGTTTGAAGTTCTCGAGCGAGTGGGCGAAGTAGCCTGTCGATTAGCTTTGTCTCCCGAGTTATCCAATGTGCATAATGTTTTCCATGTGTCTATGTTACGAAAATACGTGTGTGATCCAGATCACATTCTTCAGCATAGTGATATCCAGCTTCAGCCAGATTTATCATACGAGGAACAGTCGGTAGTAGTTTTGGACCGTAGGGTTCATTGGCTCCGGAACCGAGATATTCCCCTCGTACGTATCAGATGGAATCGCCACGGTGAATCCGATGCCACTTGGGAGCGGGAAGCCGACATTAGAGCTCGTTTTCCTGATTTTGAATTTTGATGTATATACTTTTTCTTGTATCCTGTATATATGTCCAGTTTCGTATTTCCGAGGGCGGAAATATTTTTATGAGGGTAGATTATAATAGCCCAGTTTGTTTTTAATAAAGTGATGCATTTAGTTCTGACGTTGAGCTTATTTTCTTTTTATTAATATTTCTCAATATACATTTCGAGCTAATAAGTTCGACTTTAAGTCGAAAATCTATTCGGTTTATTTTATTTTCAATAACCGAGTTAGTTTCGATAATTAGTTCCGAAATGTTTATTTTATAAACGGAAATTATTAGTCGGGATTAGTTATTCGAAATCAAGAATATTCGAATTAATTTTCGAAGTTAAGTTCCGACCAAAATTGAGTAAAATCGGTCATGATAATTCTAACTCTAATCAAGTTCATGTTAAGCATGAAATTTTCTAAGTAAGTATCATGTCACAAGTATAGCTAGCATTTGGCCTAAGTCATGCACGCGCACCGTGCACTACCGTGCGCATGTTCGTGCGTGTCGGCCATAGCGTTGCCGAGGGCAATGCATGTTACCGTACATGTGCGCGCCATCCACTAGCCATCGTTTAGGTTAAGGTAAGTATCAAGATCAATTTTATTTAATCCATGCTTAGGCCTAAGTAGTCATTGCCGTGAAAATGTTGGCCTAAGATAAGTTAAGGTGCAAGTTGCTAGCATGACTCACCTACTTGCTTGAGGTTATGTGGCAAGTCATTAGTACACACATGATGACTAAGCTAATTTTTATGCGCCACATAGGAGGATGAATAAGCTTAAGTTTTGCCACCAAGGCTTAGGTTTGAGCAAGTGGCGTCCCATGGTTAAACCATAAATTTTCATCTCCATCCATCTTTTCCCTATTTAATTGGTAGTAACCGTGAGTACAAATTTATCATGCAAAACGAGCTTATATCCAAGAGTAAAGATAGAAATAGCCGAGAGTTTAGAGAGAAAAGTGGAGAAATAGCTTGTACCGTAGCCCTTGTTAAAGGAAGCACGCGCACTACCTTGTGGCCGCAAGCGGGAGCACGCAAGTCCTTGTACTTTTCACGAGCAATCTAAGGGGTATACTTATATCGACCTTCTTTTAGTTATTTTATGATCATATTAGGAAGATCATGTAGAAAATATGTGGTTAAGTTCATTAGACGTGTCATGTTGCACTCGGAGGCGCCACAAAGGCCCTCCCGAGCCATTCATGTTTGAACCGAGAACTCCCGAGCATTTTATGCATTTTCGGTCAATAAATATCATGTTATGTTGAACCATGTAGCCGTTGCCGGAGAAAGTCACCGGATGGACGGCAAGGTGCCGGTCGTAGTGCTTGTCCGCACATAGCAAGCGCAGCACGGCCGGCAGTAGCCTGCGGGCTTGCGGGCAACTCGCGTGCGCCAAGTTGGGCGTCGCGCATAGCCCATGCTGCAGCGTCCAGTAGCGTGCTGCCAGAAGATATGTGCTTAGGCGCGTATAGCGCACGCAGTCACGCACGGCAGCACGCAGCCAGCTTGCGGTTGTCCAGCGCCCGCAGTGCTTAGCGAGTGTAGGCAGCACCCAGAGCGCCTAGCCGCCTCGCATCATGTGCATGTGTCGTCAGCCAAAAGTGCTCCAACACATGCTGGCAAGTCCCAGCGTATGTCAGCGCGCTCGGCAGCACGCCAGCATGCGTTGTAGGCCTCGACGAGTGCCCAACAGCACGCCCGAGCGCCGTGTGCTGTTAGGGTTGCCCGGCAGCATCCATAAGGCAACAGTTGCACTAGTACGTGCGAGCAGCATTGGCCAGCGTGCCCAGTTGCCTGTCCGCGGTGCACAGCAGTGCCCGACAGTGCTCATACGCACCAGTTCCGTAGCCAGCATGCTCGGCAGTGGCCAGTCGCGCGTCCAAGTGTCCAGTCGCCGTCGGAAGCCAATCTGCACTTACATTTTTAAAACCAACAGTTCAGGTGGGGACTCAGACTGAGTATTACATTGAGTATAATTACATATATCATGTCCGTGGTATGTATATTCAGTTTCCGCTTAGGGTGGCTAGTTACCGTAGGTCCATCCTAAGTTCTAGTGGCGTAATCTGCCCACTAGAGTGTGCACATAGGCTTCCGGCGCAGTTTTTATAGCCGGCAGAAACAGTTTCTGATCTAGCAGCAGATTATATACTGTTAATCAGTAGTTTCAGTTTCAGTTTCAGTATCAGTACCAGTTTCAGTTATATATACTATTGATCATGATATTGCAATTATTATTGTTGTTTACTTTAGTATGAGTTTCTGCGGAGCACAGTGGCTTTTAGTGCTCACGCCCCCACTCTTTTCTCTTTTTCAGATCACAGGGTCAGTCCAGAGGTGTGAGCTCAGCTGGTGCTCGTGGACTTGGCTAGATGCCATTTTACAGACTTTTGTTGTATATATTTTTCCACGTCTTTACTTCCGCTGACACTTTCAGCTTTTCAAACTCGCATGTTGAATTTCAGATTTTGATCCGATTTACCAGTCGGACTCAATTGACCCGGTTCGAGTTCAGTTCAAAATATCAGTTAAAATAGAACCTTAGACTGTTCCAGCAAATCCAGTTAAATATTCAGTCAGAGTCAAGCATCTTAGCAGCTATTTATAGTAAGTCAGAGCATAGTACTTAGTATTTGTTTATTTATATATTTTTACAGTTTGATCAGTCAGCAGTCAATCTGTAATACCCCATATTTTAGTAAGTCAGTAAGTCAGTAAAAAGTTAGTCGGTAAAAAGTTATTTACCACAGTAAAAAGTTATTTATTGCAGTAAAAAGTTATTTACTGCTGTAAAAAAGTTATTTATAGCAGTAAAAGGTTAAAAGGTAAATCAATAAAAGTAATTAGTAGTTTAGATAATAAGTAAATTATTTTCAATATTAAATTAAAATTTATTTGAATGATAAAGAATAGTAGAAATCATAGTTGAAATTTTCGGTTTTCAATCGTAAATGGAATTTAAGTCCGATTTAGATTACGAAAAATTAATTTTTTATTAAGCATAAAAAGATTTAGTTTATTATGAATTCTTTTAAAAAAAATATTAAGAATAGCACAATTTTAATTAATTGTAAATTTTCACAATTTATGTTATTATTAGAAAAATGAAGTGTTTATGTTATTTTTAAGCACATTTTTCCTCATTAAATCATTTGTAAATGATTTATATATTATGAGAGATATTAATATAAGTTAAACATAATTTTTGAAAATTATTTTCTGATTTTTAAAGAAAAAGCCAAGAATAAAGAAAAAATAAATAAATTGTGAAATTTTTTTATTTTGTAGAATCTTAATTATTTGAAGCATCTTAATTTTTATATTAATGGTGGTTAATTTTTATGATATTTTATTCATTTGTTCAGCTGAAAATTTTAAGAATATTAGTTAACTAAATTAAAAATTAAGAGTGGGACAATATTTGGTATATTTGTTGAAGAAAATAGTATTTAAATTCTGTCTAAAATTCTTGCTCTAAGACTGCAAAAATGCTTGGATGTGTGCATCAGTGATTCTCAATCTGCATTTCTAAAGGGAAGGCAACTTATGGATAATGTTATCATTGGGCATGAAGTCTTCCACTATCTGAATAGACATTCTTCTGATAAGCATTGTTTTATGGCTTTGAAGCTAGATCTTATGAAAGCTTTTGACCAGGTGGAATGGTTATGCATTAAAAAAATCATGTTACAGATGGGTTTTCACATTGATTTTGTGCAATTGATTATGATCTGTATCTCTACTACCTCTTTTTCTTTCAAGATTAATGGGGAAGTCAGTGGCTATGTGATTCCATCCAGAGGGATTAGACAAGGGGATCCCCTATCCCCTTATCTATTCCTTGTGGTAGCTGAAATACTGTCTGCTCTTGTTAATCATGCTACTCAGACTGGGCACATTACTGGCTTGAAAATCTCCCCAAATGGCCCTGCTTTCTCACACCTGTTGTTTGCAGATGATTCCCTATTCTTTTGCAAAGCCACTGTTGACCAAGCCCTCTCTATTCTGTCTGTCTTGGATAAATATCACCTCTTTACAGGTCAATGTGTTAATTGGTCTAAATCTTCAATCTTCTTCAGTAGAAAGACTCCTGTCATTCTTCAGAACAGAATTTGTGCTACTTTGTTTGGGATTACAAAGCATAGATCCACCAAATACCTTGGCCTCCCTCTGGGCATTGGCAGGTCCAAATTGGACACCTTTCAGTACATATTAGACTCTGTCCAAAGCAAACTGGAAAATTGGAAAGCTAAATTGCTGAATCAAGCTGGGAAAGCTATGCTAATCAAAACTGTACTCCAAGCCCTCCCTATCTTCACTATGTCTTGCTTCATTTTGCCTAAATCTCTTTGTGCTAAAATCTCACAGATCTGTTCTCAGTTTTGGTGGAGCACTGGGGAGGATCAACACAGGGGCATTCATTGGAAATCCTGGAGTTTGCTTTCACTACCTAAAGACTGTGGTGGAATGGGCTTTTTAGATCTTCAACTTTTTAATACAGCTTTAATCTGCAAGCAGTTATGGAGAATCTCTTTTATGCCTCACTTACTAGTCAACAAAATTTTAAAGGCCAGGTATTATCCCAACTGCTCACTCTCTGATGCTGTTAAAACCCAGAGCTGTTCTTGGCTTTGGTCAAATTGGCTTGGTGTTATTCCCACCTTTGCTAAGGGCTTTGCTGTTGAAATCAGAAATGGTGAGAATACTAGAGTGGATGATGTAAACTGGGTTCCTAACTTCTCACTTCCGAAGCCTCGATTGATTGACATAGCCAGGGGCCATCTAATATGGGTTAGAGAGCTTATATCTGAATCAGGATTAGAATGGAATTCTTGGCTCATCAATCAACTCTTTCCTGCTGAAGACAGCAAAGCTATCCTGGGGATCAAAACTCTTAAACCGGGCATGCAAGACAGAATTTTCTGGAAGTTCAGTAAGAATGGGACTTTCACAGTGGCCAGCACCTATGCTTTCTTATCTCAACAAAAGCTCCTCTCTCTGGATATTCCTGGTTGTAGCTCTGTGACAAGTAACTCTTTATCCCAGACTAGACAGAGATTATGGAAACTCAACATTGTCAATAAAGTTAAAATCTTTATATGGAAGTGTCTAGCTGGAGCTCTCACAGTCAAAACTAAGTTGCAGAAGAAGGGCTTGAATATAGATGTGATTTGCAGTATATGTGGTGAACTCCCAGAAACTATTTCTCATGTTCTGTTTTACTGCAAGAGAGCAACTAATCTGTGGAGCATTGCTCCAGTTTCTTGGAATCTGAAGCCTGACATAGACTGCTCTTTCTCGTGCTGGTGGCAACACATTTGTTCTATTGGGAATTCAGAGACATCAGAAGCTAGAATTCAGCTCACAACCTACATCCTCTGGTAGCTTTGGAAGACCCGCAATCTCAGCATTTTTCAAAACATTATTATGCCAGTTCAGATTACCCTCAAGGCTGCTCACCAAGATTGGATTGATTTTATCTCCTTGAGGCATTAGCTGCTATTTTGCTGTTTCTGCTTTATTTCTTCTTTCTCAGTTTCTGTAGTTTTTGGATGTTTTTAGTTTCTCTTGTCTTTTATCGTTTTGTTTTCATCTCTAGGCCTTCGGGCAGTGGATGTTGTTCGGTTTCTTGGGCTTCTCTTGTCTTTGTGTTGAGGTTCTAGGACGCTTTATGCGTGTCCTCCAAGTTTTTTCTTTGGCGTTTGGTTTGTACATCATTCGAACATGGTTCGCTTTGGTTATATACATTATCCCTGTCGTTTCGAAAAAAAAAATGATATTTAATTCATTTTGGTGAAGTTTGTCCCCTAAAATTTTTTTTATAAATAGGAGCATTCATCAATGGTAGAATTACACCTTAGAAATTCAGATTTTTATGTTATAAGAGAAAGATATAGTAAGAATCGAGTTTTTACGAGAGGAATCGAGCAATTTCGAGACCCCTCTTATTTATTATTTAATATTTATTATTAAAATTTTTTTTGAAAGTGAGGATCATGTTCACTAGGTAGACAAGTTTGGAGAACGGCGTTTCGTTCGTTCCCGTGCATACAGGATTTTCTCTTATTTGAAAGTCATGAAAACCCGTGAAATCAAGTTGCATTTGCTTTGTTTTCTCAAGAGTGGAAGAGGTATGTTATAGAATTTTAATCAATTATAGTTAAGAATTATAAGTGTTTATATGTATTTTTAATATGTTATCATGTTAAGAAATTATAATTTTTATATATATAAGTATATGAAATAAGATTATAAAGTAAGTTCAATTAAAGTTCATGTTGTTGCAGAATATGTTTGCTTGTTTTTTACCAAGTTATTGAATTTCAAAAATTATGAGAATTTATATATGAGATCATCATTATGTTGAGAATAATACTGTAAATTTTCACATTATTTAGAGTTAAAATGAATTTTATATAAATTATGTTAAGGTGTTGTCCAGTGAAAAAATCTGTGTAGTAATGATGACGTGTGGTATTAAATTACCTTAATTTTTTATACTATTTTGAGTTGAGAATTTTATGGTCAATTCATATGTAAGTTAAGAACTTCCAATTTAAATCTTATATTTATTGGACTTGTTTAACATGCAATAGAAAATAACGAACAAAAGTGAGTCAATCTCGAATTTCAACAAGACAAGCATTATTTGAAAATTTGTATCTCACTTTATGGTTATTATTTTTATGAGGAACTTAACAGAATATTTCTTGATTTAGTTGAGAGTTAAGATATAAAGTTTTAAAATTTTTAGATTCTTGTAGCATGAGATATAGATTTTTAAAGACAAGTATGCCAGTAAATTATAGTTACAACTTTGAAATAATATATCTCAATATCTGAATATTATTTTAAAGTGATAATTCTATGGTAACTTTATATATATGTTGAGAGTACATATGTTAAAGTTAAGCTTAAAATAAGGTGAATTGTGTAATTACTAAAATTATAGATAAAGCCTGTTAATATGATTTTAGTTTTGAGTTTTTCTCATTATATTAATTAAATGTGAAACTTTGAAGAGCATGTATTAAAAGATATGTGAGTATGAATGATTAAGTTTTATTTTAATATATATTAATTGTATGTTTTTAATATTTTTCGAGATGAGTTAGCCAGTATCGAGCATAGTACTTAGTATATTTGTTATATTTGTTATATTGTAGCGTGAGAAGTCGGCTACCAAAGAACAACACTTACATTTTCAAATATTTACAAAGAAGAAAGGTGGGGACCCAACCTGGGTATTACATTGAGTATAATAACTATTATCATGTCCGAGGTATGTATATAATTTATAAAGTACTGGTGGAGGCCCCAAGTTGCCTTAGTAAATATCCATCAGAATTAAGCTCTCCCAGTAAAGACTGGGTTCTGTGGGAGGCAACTCCCAGAATGTAGTGCCCCATTCGAATATTAGATTTTTTATGAGTTTATTTTAATCAATGGTATTTTATTTTAAAATTTATATATATACCTTGATTATGTGATTATATATTTTTTATTATTATACGGATACTATAATTTTATATATAGCTCGGTCGATTTTATTTTACCAATCGTCGTTTGAATTTTTGGTTTAATCGCGTAAGCCAAATTGTTGTTCGTTTGAATTCGTTTTAGAACCGTTGCGACCCGAACATCAAAACGAATCAAAACGACCTTAAGACTATTACATTACCATCTCTTTAATAGTATTATTATCCATAAAAACCGAATTAGAAGAGGAAAAAATTGATTGTAGTCAAATTCTTCGGTTTTCAATTATTGTCGGATTTTAAGTCCGATTTCGGTTCCGTAAAATTTATTTTCTTCTCAATCCTTTTAGTAGGCATCAAAACCAAAGTTAATAAGTTTTGTTCAGCCATTTTAAGTACCAAAACCGAATCCATACTCATGCATGAGTTAGAGAACCATGTTACACTCTTTTGGCATCATGTGTTGGTAAAATATTAGTTTTAGGTTTAGGTGAGATCTAGATCTTATGTCTCCTCTTATCATGTTCTTGTGTTTCATTCTTTAGCTGTATTAGACCATTAAAAACCTGAATAACTTGAGCAAATAGAGAGAAAATCGGATTTCAAGCAAAATAGGGAGAGAAGTAGAAGAACCGAGTAACACCTCTTTCATTTCTCCACATTTTCGTTTTCTTGAAGGAGGTAAGGTTCTTCTGTTATGACTTCAAGCAATTGTTTTTTGAAAATTTGTTCTGAATGTGAAATATATTACATCTTGTTAGCTTCTCTAGCCTTTGGAATTCCATGAATCCGAGTTATATCGAGTGAGTTATGATTTTTATAAAACGAGTGCGCAAGCAGTTTTCTGGAACCGGCAGCATGAGTCTATATAATGTTTGACCTGTTTATGGTGTCATAGTATGATCTAGTGAATTTGTAGTCTTCATAAAAGTTATAGTTCTGTTGATTAGCTTTCTAATGAGATAGTATTCATGTTGAGGTGGTATCTATAGCTCGAGTTGTGTTCATATGATTGTAGATATACATGAAGTAAGGCTTTACATTTTGGCAGAAAACTTATTTTAAATGTTAGTAGATTGTACACCATCTTAAAGACCTTATATTCTTTTGTGTTCTAAATGAAAGTTGTAGGGTTATCTCTTAGCTTTCTAATCATACTAGAATCATGTAATTTAGAGGTCTGTAGCACGATTTAGAGGATAAATACTAAGGTGTTGTTCATATCATACTTTAGTCTCGGGCAGACTTTATGAATTGAATGTTTTGTGTCCAAACTTATTTATAAAGTGATTATTTGAAAACGTGGTCTTCAGCAAAGTTGTAGAAATTTAAGTTAGCTATCATAGGGTTTTTGAATCTCATTAAAAACATGTCTGTAACTCCAGTTATCTAGTAACTACTGAAGTCTGGTCGGTTGCAAGTTCTCGATTTTTTTTAACGCAACTCAGTTTTGAATGTTTGATGATTTAATTCCTAGTACATGACCTCATTTGCTTTGGGTTTCTTCATATGAATTGTAGATGCATGTCTTAGAATTCCAGTGCAACTTAAATCATGTTCATCTGAGTTTTGTTCTGAAAGTAATGTTGATTTCAAAAACGCTACTCGGGTTAAGCTTTGAAAAACGTACGTGGTATTTTGAAAAT